CGCACCTCCCCGCGCCGCGCAGCTTTCCCCGGCGTGCGAGCGCACACACACACACACACACACACACACACACTCACAATCAATCAATCAATCAATCAAACCTTTTTTTTTCAAGTTTTTTGTTGATTTATTTTCAAATTTTGCATCTTTATTTTTCTAAAACACCTCATACCCCTGCAAAAAACAGAAATTCATTTTTAAAAAATACAGGTGAACTTAGGGACCATATATCTGACGATAAAAAATGACAACAAAAAAATCCAGCTTTTCTTTATATATATATATTTTAATTTCTTTAAATCGAATTTAGTTTTTGATTTTTTAAAAATCCTAAAGAAAGTCGGATTCCAAAAACAAAAAATGAGGTTGTAGGGCTTAAAATTCCCTATAACCCCTGTTTTTTTTTGTTTTTTTTGGCCTATGACTTAATTCAGGAAAATTCTGGTAAAATCTGGTCCGTGGTGCGTACCACGTCGGCCGCGGCCGCGGACCCGTCTACGTCCGCCATCCGAGATCGGACCTGCGGACGCGTCCGCGGGTGTTTCATAGGATCAGCCCAGCTGATCTTCGTATGCAGCTAGCAGACTGCGACGTTGTGCGTGGACAACATGTTGTCCAGCCATGCTTGGCACGCACCTCCCGAGCGGGAGTATAGGTATGGGTGCCGGTTCCGATTGATGACGTGGTGAATGTCCAACTTCAGCTCAAACTGACGCCACCATGGGATCGGGTCCGTCTTCGTTGCATCGCAGAAGATCGGGAGGCCGTCAAACTTCGGAATGCTCTCGCGATTGGACTGGCTGCGGCAACGCAAATCTGCTGGTCACTCCGCCGACTTGTCGACGTCTATGTGTCCGAAATTGGATTCAATGGGGGTTTTGAGTTGAACSGTTCAACTCCCATTCAACTCCCGTTGCAACTCCGCGTTAAACCGAGTTGAACATGGTACAACTCAACCCGCGGATTTTTTTTTTGCAGGTAAAACACAAGTGAAAAAAAAATAAAAAAACTATGGGGGTGTAGATTTTTTTGCTCTTTACAGCACCATATTTCTATTTTTATTTTTTGAGCATTCAAATTATTTTTAAAAAATCAAAACCAAAACCAGACTCAAAACAGATAGATTTTTTTTTTTTTTTTTTTTTTGATTGATTGATTGATTGATTGATTGATTGGTGGGGGATGGGTCGCCCCTCCCACCCTCACCGAATCAGACACACACACACACACATACACACACACACACACACACACAGACTCT